TTTCAGGACAAGTTGTTCACTCAGTTATATTTCTCCTTTCCTTTATCACATCAAACAGAACATAAGTGAAATGTAATCAACTTCAATGGTGTGTGTGTGTGTGTGTGTGTGTGTGTGTGTGTGTGTGTGTGTGTGTGTGTGTGTGTGTGTGTGTGTGTGTGTGTGTGTGTGGTGTGGACATTTCCGTGTGTTTCGATGAAAGGCATACATTCATTTTTCATCCTGTTTCACAGTGGGCAGTCAGTTTTAGAATGGAGCTCCATAAAAGAGTAATGGAAATTCCTGGGGAGCGGCTGTCCTTTGGCCTTCCAGCACCCAGTGGTATGCACTATCTTGGTGTATTATCACTTGTCTCACAATCTGTTTGTCAGCGAGCCCACAACTTCAAAGGAGACTTAAAGCTTTCTTTCATTTTTTATATCTGGGTTGAGGGGTTGAGAGAAGTGAGTCTACCATTTATGAACAAAGCCCCCCCAAGACATTTAGCAAAATAAAATGTTACCATCCTGGATGCAGCTCCTAACATTTACTCCAAAGAGCGGATCATAAACTATTTATAGATATATGCGTGTATGAGCATCAGAAGGGTGCCTCTTTGAATCAGATCCTTGTGTTGGGCAGGGTCAGGAATGGGGCTTAAGCTGGTGAGCTCCCTTTATTTCGCCATAACATCAATATCCTGCATGGAGGAGGATGGGGGACGGATAGCCGCCATTACTGTATGTCTGTTGTGTAAAATTGCCATTATTCAGTCAAACGATTATCTGCTGCCGTGGTGTGTAATGCATCTCTGTGACTGTGACTGATGCCTGCACATCTAGAATCGCTGGAGAAGGGTGAAAGTGAAAGAGGTGACCTTGAGGTGATATGGCTCATTTTAGACATATTATCAAAGTATGGAAAGTGTACACAGTCAGAGGATAGCTTTATACTAGTGCTAATAAACTGACCGTTGTCTCCCTGTTCACAGCATGAGTTATAACACACGGTTGTTCAATTGTTGATTGAATAAATGGCATGACTAGTTATTCCGTAGTTATTGGCGTAAGCTGTGTCTGGGCTTCAGGAAGAACTAGAGAGCATGATGTGCGGGTGATAATGGAGCAATGGTTCCAAGTTGTCCGGTTCCTTTGAATTGCATGCCTCTGTGACTGTCCATTACTTGAATCCATGTTTTCTGACTTTAGTGTTGAATGCACAGGACCTAATGCCATAAGTAAGCTGTATCTTGTTTGAGACTTGATCCACGATGGAGAAAAATGAAGGGTCAAAAGAAGTTTGCTATATTTTCTCTGTGAATACTAAAAGATTTTTAACAAAACAATCCTGTTGAATTCAGCAGAAGGAGAGCTGGTAACATTAGCTGGTGAAAAGCACAGTCCTTGGCTAAATAACAAAGCTAACGACTAATTACTTTCAATGGAGCGAGGTTTAATTGAATAACATTAGCTCCTTTCAAGCTCTTTTCAATAAAAATATGTATTGGGTAAAGGTATTATACGTTTTAATCATATATTCAAAGGTAATTAAAAAACGTTATAAAAAATGTATACATCCTGTTGTATGAAGGATATGTTTCAACAGCAATATAAAATATATATTAAAGAGAATTATGCCTTGCGGTAGTTCCTAACACAAGCTCTAAGCAAACTATTTTACTGAATGTAAATTACTAGTGCCAATAGTGTTTTTAAGTCAAAGCAAATATTTAAATAAAAATTAAATCAAAACCTGTATGCCCCCTTTTTTCACTTCACAATTTTTCAGTATTTGGGAAAAATAAATCCTATTTATGCTAAACTGAATACTTGAATGATTTTGGCCCTGAGGGTGAAAAATAAAATGGTTATAAGATCTCTACTCAGCCAAGAAATTGAGGTAAAATAACTCAAGCATGCTGAAAATTAATTATTTTGTAACACTTTGTAATTATAAACTCCTTGTCATGTATAAGACCCAATGAGCTTGTTCAGCGATTTGTTTTACTGTTTGTTTTGTTCATCAAACAGAAAGAGACATCTCTGCTTTCTAATCTGTTGAAGGTGTAATAAATTCTAAATAAAATGTGTTTTAATTGTATGGCTTACTTTGCTCTGCTGCGTCAACAGCGAAGCTAAGTTTGTGGTTAACAGTTACCACATCGAAAGGTTGGTTTTCAGAGAAACATAAAATACCAACACTGCAACAGTGTTTGGAAGTGTAAAGCTACAGCTTTCAGATAATCCAAAAATGATTCAGTGCACAGGGGGCTCTGGAGCATCAGCAGTGAATACAGAGAGCCAGGTCATCCTGGGAGATTAGAACGTTTGAAATCTCAGTCGACAGCGAGGAAACAGAGGGGTGACCAGCATTGATCCTCAACACCCACTGAGATACTGTATTAACGTTTTTATAACAGCCTTTACTGAATTGTATTGACCTTTCTTCACCAACAGTCATCATACACAGTACATAGATTTATTTTCAGCGTTGTTAAGAAGTCACCTCTGCATGTGATCAACCTAAACTTACAAAATGTAACAACATGTACAGTATATAAGATATTACAGTTTTTGGTGACAGCTTAACTGTTACAAAGCTTTAACTGACATTACTTTACATTTAAGAAATACAGATCTAAGAAAAGTTTTTATTTTTTAAGTTGAAGCTATTTGACCTTTTTATCAAAGCTACCCTTCTTCTCTGTTGTTTTAAATGTTGTTCAAACACTTTTGAGTTTCCCATTAAAAGTTTCAATTTCACCAAATATTTTCTCATGACCTTTGTCTAATGTTTGATATGAAACGTACTAAACCCAATAATCTTCTCTTCAACATTTAATCATGTCTTCATGCGAGTAGTATACTTTATTTGCCGTTATCCTATAACTTTCCATTCGGGTGAGAGTATTCTCCATTGCCTATATTTAATTTTGCAATTTCATGTCGTTACACTTTATATGATACCTAGGCCTGTTGCTCTCCTTTGAACAAAGCACCCATTCCATAATGCTTATTCTGGAAATCTGTCTCAGAGGGTCTAGTTTGGGGGGTCTCGATAGGGAGGGTAACTAATTAGATTTCTGGACGGTTATGATTATGTCCTGCTGCTGCATATTATCATCACATCAAAACATTTTCAGTTATTATTTCTGTCATGTAATTCACCAAAGAGTCTATTCTTGCAATGACACTTATTGCTTTCCTATCTCTTTTTTTTCCTCCTGTGCAGATCACAAGGGTCATTTTCTGTGTCTTCCTCGAGACCGACTTTGCCATCTACAAGAAGAAGATGTCTGTCATTTTCCCAGGTATGTGTGTTTACTTCCTATCGACTGGGTTGCAGAACAATAAAACCATATCTTAAAATGTCCTCTCTTACCATATTGATGTATTGGGCTATTGAATAGATGAAAGATTTGTATGTTGTGTTTCGACAGGGTATTCCCAATATATGATGTCATCACCTATACCTCATTGACCATCTGTATAGACCCAGGCAGCTTTGCCACCTTATTTTTCCAAGAACACATCTGGAGAGAGAGATATGTTTTTTCTGGAAGCAGTAGAATAGCGACCCGTCAGGCTCGGTTGACACCTTCAAATGTAAACAAAGTCAATGCACCCGCACGGCCATTTGGGTGATTAACAGTGAGAATTTATGTTGACAGTTGGTAAAACACACGTCAGGTTCTCTATGGATTGCCTTAATAGGATTAGAATAGTTAGACTTCTTGTCAGCGAACAAGCAAGCTGATATTTTACATAACTGTTGATATTCTGATGAGACTTTAATGTCAGATTTGATTGACTATAATAATAGTCCTCGGCACAGAACGTCTCCTGCGAGGACTTACAATTCAGGGATGCATAGCAACCAATGATTGTCCTTGGTTACTGCCCCTCAACTGTGCATGTGAAATAAACAAACATCCATTATCTTCTACTCCCACTCTCTTTTCTGTCCCTCTGACAATTCCCTCCCCCCATTCACGCCATCATCTTTTTTTCGGGGGGCCAGGAACAGTCACCGGCCTTGATGTGGGCTCCATGGAGGATTGGGTTTAATGGCTGGGAATCTGAAAGAGGCCTAGCATTACCTCCCATTTACCTCACTTTTCTCTCCCCATCTCCCCGAAGGAATACCGGCTCTCAGGCCTTCATCTCGCTGCTCCCAGATGGAGAGTGTTTTCTTCCCCCTGTGCTGCCGTCATCTGTCCCGCTCCACGCCCAGCCTCTACCCTAAAAGATTACATTCTGGGGACAGACCTTAATTATAATGCCTGCCCCCGTTCACCCAGCACCCGTCTCATCATATTAGTGCTGTCAGTGGATACATGCCCTGTATCTCTCCACGACTGAACAGAGAGGAGACAAAACAACAGGCTCTTCAACAAAGGGGAATTTGAAAAGTTCTGAGCGCTCTATTATTATTATTATAAGATAACTCTTTAAAAACTATTGTTTACCATCATGTGATGAGTTGCTAATGAGGGAGGAAGGGGTCAGTCTGTGATTAAAAGTGGGGTCGCACCATGATGCCAGCCCGGCGCTTCTCCTCATCACATCCCCGCGCCTGTCACATGCCCTTTGACCTCCGGGGTCTGAGCCACCTTTGTCACTGCTCTTTGTGTCCGTGTGGGCTAGTATATTAATTCCACTATAGTCTAAGTGGCTTGATAACAGTACCATCCCACTCAGGGTCATTGTCTGAAGTGAGGCAGGCGCGTCTTTTTTTTTTTTAAGCCACGCTCGCCTATTCCTGCTCCGTCTTTCACCGCATGTGCTTCAAAGCTCCAACCATCCTCTCTCTAGGAAAACAAAAGCTCTTTTAAGATGCTGCATGAGGAATATTCAAACTAAAATACTGCTGCTTTGATTGTAGACTAGACTCACAAATAAGGGAGTGAATTCATAGATTTTATCCAGCCAGGCTGCACCACTTGGATGGGTTCACTGGAGTTGATAGGTGTGCTTTAAAGAATGAAATGCTGATTGGTATGATTGCACCATGCAGGGAATGCATAGCGCCGTAGTGTGAGAAGACTTGAATTTAGCCGGCGCAGAGTGGTGAATCAGAGGCTGTGAATTAGCTCTGCAGGTGTGCTCGTACGCTTTCTGAACATCCCATCATCCTCTCTGCTAGAGACAGACAGTCATGGAGATCTTGCAGCAACACTGAAGGCATCACACAGAGGCCAGAGACAATTCTGTCTCTCTAGACCCTCCATATTCCCTCTTTCTCTCTTATAAATCTGCTTGCCACTATCCCATTATGTCATCACTCTACTTTTTTTATCATTCATTACATTACATTCTTCCTCATTATATCAAGGAGGAGCCTCTCCACGGCCTCATATCAGCACGCTGTTATGGAGCTGTTGTGAATAGTGCCTGTGATCTGTCTATCTGTTGAAACGCAGGATCTTCCCCGTGACATCAGCTTCCAGCATGTCTTGTGGCTGAGAGTGGGCACAAAATCGTTTTTTTCATTGAAGTCTTACTATTCTCATTTTTCATTGTATAACTTTTCTCATATTCAAGCAATCTGTCAAGTGACAATGACTGGAGCAGGAACGTGTAAACAGGACATTTGCATACAGGAAATTGCTTTATTACAATGTGCATTCCCACAAGCTGTCACTATGAGGGAGCCACAATATGGTTACATCTCTGCAGAAGGAGGAAACTTAGAAATGGCCGCTGCTGACAGGAATACTCATGCACACCTACATGAAAAGGCACATCGATGTGCAAACATACATATAAAACAAGAAGTTTGACCTCGTCGAGTGCAAAATATTAGAACAGGGCATTTTGTGCCAAGTCCCAACAGAACGGAGCTGCTGTATGGTGAGTACTAATGGAGTTCTCACAAACAGACAAAGGGCTTTTTAACGTACGCCAGCTGAGGGAGCACTTCTGTTATTACGTCTTCATATATTGTGCGAAAGAGGCCTCTAAGGCACTAATAATGAAATATGCAAATAAACAAACAAGCTTATATACACAGCAACTATAGGTAAAGCTTTAGCCTCTGTTGTACCATACACCATCAATTATCCACCTCGCCAACTGAGCTCATAACAAGTGATAAAATGACCTATTCATTACCTTGAGAAGCCATAAACTGTACATATCTCAAAGGTGCTATGGCAATCCTGCTGTCTGGTTAAGAGGACCATCAGAGGTTGCATACCTTTTGGAGAATACACACACTGCAACGAGCTGCCTCAAAATTTCATGTCATTATTATTAATAATATTAATTAATTACCACGGTTGTATTTTTAGAAAAGGTTTAACCATTAATCGACAGAGCTTAATCATTGCAATTAATCACATGACATGATTCGATTAAGTATTCAGATTGGTTTCATAGATTGTGATTGACCACATGCTTGCCTTGGCACGTATTATTTGCGAGCATGAAAGCAGTGAGGCAGCTGTGGTTGTAGAGGGTAAAAGTGTGTTGAAATTGATTCTGGGTACACTCCTTCACTAATATGATCCGGGTGGCTGCCCACAAGCTGGGCTCAATCTCTTCTTCTCCTCAATCAGCCACAGTGCTGACAATATTAACAGCCGACAGATCTGCAGGGCCCGTTACCATCTCCACTTTTTCACTGACTCTCAAATTGACATTGGTTTACATGGCCCTTTATACACTTTATACTCAAAACCCCACAACCCACACACCCATCCCCACATTTCCATAACAGCAGCACCCCCACAACCCTCCCCAATGCTTTAGAAAAAGTAAAGCTGTGATATTCGCACGCTTCTATCACACATGTAATATGTGGACGAAGGATCTGAAGGGCTTCAGGAACCCTGTGAGGGGTGAAAATTAAATCTGTGTTGCTTTCACAAGGCTATCCCTCAGGGCTGGGAAATGAGGAGGCCATGGTGTGTTAATGATGTGATTCTGAAAAAGCACAGTGGCTCAGTCAGCTTTGGCAGATATGAGGATTCAGTTTAGCTCATCATATGGGAAAATGGTCACATGCTTGTACATTTTGAACACTACATGTTCAAAATGTACAAGTGCATGTCCTGCTAACTGCTTATCGGCGTGGCCAGACATGGTTACGTTCAGATAATATATCAATTAGATCATGCTTGGCTGTTATACCGTTTTTAAAGGAGCGCTATGCAGAATTTAGAGTGTCGGCAGGGATTGCATTCAGACGGCTCTCAACATGGAGGCAACTGAGCTGGCAGCTACAGTAAGAACCTTTTCAACATTGCCACACAAGGGCAATAACACCCAACATGAGATGGAAAAATTTAACTTAGAGGAATAGTTATTTCACTTTCTTGTCAAGATTTTGATGAAAACATGAGAGTTCCGAGAGTTCAATATGAGGATTGGTACAATTACTAGCTTAGCAAAGCATATGCTTGAATAAGGAAAAGTAGCCTTGCTGTCTTAAGCAGAAACAAAAAGTGCCTTTAAGTGCTCCTAAATCTCACTAAATACATGTTAAACCAGACATTAGCGAAGTGTACAAACAAGTTGTAGTTTAATTTTGTTTTGTTGGGATGTAGTGATTCTTGAAGTTCAGTACTCACAGCGAGGTAACCAGGCAACCAGTGGATCAGCCAGGCCATGTAACGTGTTGATTACAGAGCTTTTGAGCTAGTGATACTAAAGTTGTGTTTTAGCGCGCAGAAATGACAGAGGCATTGATTCTCTCATCGACCTAACCCTCAGAAAGAAAGCAAATTATCATCTTTCCCTGAATGTCAAACTATTGAAAAGCTGATTACCTGTTTCATAACATAATAGCTGTTGTTCATCCAAAGATAGAGCATGCCATCTAGTAAGAATCCTTTGTCTGAATGTGTTGTCTTAACCCCTAGAGAGAAATGACAGTGTCATACATTGTTATTCTAGACATAGTCACATACATTTCCTGTGTTGACAGCAGTGTTGAGCAGTGGTAATAATGTTATAGCATGTGGCAGTAGCCGAGACACCCTATGTTTCATTTCTTGCACTATTGTTATAGTATATCAGTGGGCCGTCCTTTGTTTCCCCAAGCAGGGTTAGATTAATGCACTGTACCCTTTTATTCAGTGCTATACAAAAGAAAGGTCTGTCGCCGGATCCACAGGGAGCTCTGATGGTTACACTTCTACAGACCAGATGGCAACAGCCTTTCATCAAAGCTAACACTTGCTTGTGCTTGTTAACCACAGCGCAATCATTGCTCAGGCTCTTACACTGCCATACAAACACAAATACAGTCGTAAATATACAGTCACACATCCAACAATGCATATTATAACACAAGCACACACATACTGTATATACAGTGGCTTGAATCAAAGAAAGCTGAGGCATGCTGAGATTTGTGTATGATCCGGGAGCACGACTCTCTAGCTCTCCTCACTTCTCTCTTACACTGCAGTTCCCCCTTAAGGAGCATCCAACGCCTGCTTCTCATCTCCCACTGTGCACCTCAACTCATCCACCCAGAAACAACTTCACTTCACTCAGTCTGTCTCACACAATAGATGTACAGAGAAAGGAAGGGGGAAAAAAAAATTTTTGGGCGCAGTTGTCCACCCCAGCCTGAAGTCCTTGTAATTTGAGGAAATGGGAGCTTTTGGGAAATGTATGCTGAGCCTAACAGTATAGGTTTAATTGAAAAAGAATGTCTCATGAATGTGACCCCCTTTCAAACACACGCACTCACATTCACAGTCATTTGGTGTAATAACTCACCAGATTCAAGTCCAAGGCTGTCTGCTGGGGGAATTTAGGTAGTCTGTGATGGTGGTTGTTAAGATTTCAGAGTATAGCAGCTGGTGTGGAACGAGGAAATGTGAGAGTTTAAACTGCAAGCTTTTTTGTATTTGTGACAGAACAGTTCTATCTTTTTGTACCACATTTCAATCGCATTGTGAGGAAACACTGCATGATTTACTGGTTGACATGTTTAAGCAAGGTACACAGCAGTATGGCATCAAAATACTGTGCTCCCAACATTATAATCAGGACGAAGAGTTGTGATGACTCGCTGTATCGTACATTATAAAATAGCATGCTTTGACACGCTGTCTTTTTCCCCCTCAACCAGACAATGACATGGAGGTTACAGAGGAGCAGCTGAAGGAAGGTGAGTGACAGAATATTTCATGGATGCCTTTTCACCTTAACACCTCCATTAAAGCACACAGAGGCTGAGTGAGTGGCGTAGCTTCAGCAGGCAACAGTGACTCGCTAGGTTTTATGCAGCAGATGAAATTGAATGTTTATTCATTCGGTGACAAGTTATATCCTGGGCCTGACACATTGCAGTTAAAAATACTTCATGTCAGGTACATTACATTACAAGAGCTTATATCCACGGCTAATTCCCAACACCATTCTCTTCATCCGGCTTACATGCACAATGGCTTTAGATCACCTGAAGCGTGTGACAAAAAAACAGCAGAGCAGCATCTCTCCGCAGCATGCGCCAGGCGACGGCAGGAACACAACTGCCAGTGCATAACGCTGTTATCACTGCACCATCTTGGCACACGGCCTGAAACTCCCAGATACTGCTTATCGGGATAAACTATTGACATTTGTCTGTTCACTGATGTCCTGAATAAGCAATTACTTGCAACTGAAAACCTCATGAAAGTGTAAATATATTGTTCTATAGCGAGAGCAATAGATCCGATAGGCAGCAGTTGCTCATATTTTTCCTTGGTAGACAAAATAAACTGTATATAATGTTTGAGAATATGTACAGTGCTCCCTCTAGCAGTTTTCTCCGAGGTACAGTAGGTCTTATAAAGCACCTGTTGGCAACTTTTCTTTACGAGAACGTGGGGATTCAGAACATGGTCTTGCCAGGTCTGAATGCTGTGTCCCTGGAAGACGTCATAGTACACGTGCAACCAACTAAGCAGAAAGCAATGTTTTACTGTCTGTCCAAGGAAGTGTTCAGATTACGGTAGATGTAGAACCCAGGGTGCTATGAAAATGTTTTCCCTCCGAAAGTAACCCCCGTGATTTGCCAATTACACGCATCTGTGTTTTCAATGAAATTCCATTTTGGGTGAACATAAAAGGGTTGTTTTATAAGTGCACTGTAAAATGTGATATTTCAGAGTGAAACAATGTGCACCACGTAATGGCCAAATCATAAAGACTTGGCTGAAAGGAACTGCATTTAAGAGTTTTTCCAAATTCTTAGCGCATGACAGACCATGTTGTTATCTGTCGTGTTGTTCTCCAGCTATTTCACACGGCATACTCTATAATAACATAGCACCAGACCATATCAAGCCAACTGAAATAACCCCTGATAATTCCTCGCTCTGTTGTATCATCCTGCCCCGGTCCAGTTTGGCCTTGTTTGATGGGCCTTCACACCGGTGCCAAGCGCTGGCCTTTTATTCTGCTCCATCAGCCAGAGTTTGAATCAGTGCAGCCTGGAGCTCATTCAAAGGTTCGAATGACTGCCATTCTCACATGGAATGGTGCTTTTGTCTCAGACAGCTCTCTGGAGTTGGTCTCAAAGCCTCACAATCGTTCCCTCTCTCCCACAGGAGTCACGATTTCTTTGTTAGGCATGTATAAAACAGAACAGAGCAGGAGCTATTGAGTTCTCCCAAAGGCTCTTGTGTTCGCGGTCAGCCCGAGGCAGGATGGCCAAGTTAGAATAATCTCTGCTGCAAAGTCTTTTATTCACACCATCTCTCATCTAACAGTTCCAATTGACAAGATGTCACGCCCTTCGCATCCTGATGGTGTGCGGGGATAACGACGTGTCACTCCCCCTCTGTAAATCACCATTTATTTTTGTTTATTAATAGATAACACTTCACAATCCACAAAATCCACAACCAAGGAAGAGAGTGAAGACAATAACAGAGATAAGACTCTTTGTGAGTGTGTGTGTATTTGCAGGCATGTGTGTTTTAAATTGCAACTTTATTAATGATGACTGCATGGGAAAGGTCTGTTAAAGGATATATCGTGCATTGATATTTGTTCACAGAAGTTATTTGTTTTGTGTGTGTAAAGTAATGGAGTGTTTTCCCGGTCGGTAATGTCTTGCCAAAATGCTCTTTGGGGAAATGAATACAGGAGGAAGCTTGGCCCTTTTTTAAAAGAATGTTTTCTTAGAGGCAAACTTGTTTAAGAAGCCATTATCTGGCTATTCTGCCGCTTCAGCCCATTTGGATGTGTAATATTGAAACAGTTATAGGCTTCTTACGATACGATGGACCAAAGATAATTAGATTCTTACACTGGAGGGTGTTAGTATGCAATTAAAATCGTACACCATCCATTTGTCTTCAAGCCTTAAGGTTGTGGGGGATTTTTGAAGATAGCAGTCATGTTTTTTTCTTTGGGGAAATGGGCGCTCGGCTGATCGTGAAAGACTGGACTACATAACGCAGACACTTCAAGGGCGTCAATACACTCTGTGTTGTTAGACAAAACACAATAAGTCATGTTGCCTATTCAACATACCTTCCCATAATCCACAGCAGTAATTCAATATGATTCACAAATTCAATCACCAGCATTAGGAGGGCATAAGTATTTTGTAATAATCTTTATAAATCCTAATTTATCAGGCCTGGCAGCTTAATAGTAACTAATCCATTCACAAAAGGCCTTGGCAAAGCTTTCTAGCATGGGAACACTCAGTCCTTGAGACAACCTCTCTCACAGGAAAGGAATGAAATGATTGTGTACTGCCTGCACTGTAAAGGTTAGGTCTGGTTCGATGTAGCACATAGAAAAGATTAATCATAGGAAACACTCAGATGACGAGATATAGCACAAAGCAGAGGAATAGTGAGCTGGAAAAACAGACAGTCAGCTCAGTGAGACAGACATTATAAGACTCTCCTAATACCACCTCTGTTTTCCCAAACACACTATATTTCACCATTCTGTCTATAGAGCTGGCGAAGCAGGTCACCTATTTGCTATAGTGAATATGTGGAGCACTTTTTAGAATAAATTACACTGCAGCACAGCCGGGTGGAGTGTGTCTGTCAATATGCCTCAGTGTGATCCATCTCACTCCGCGGGGGATTCACTCTCCCCTGCCCATGGGTCAGACATGAGGGGGTTTTAGCCACAGTACTGATGAAGAGAAAGCATTAAGGCTTTCTCCATCGTTGTCCCATGATAAATACACTGGTTGTTGGACTGCAGGTAATTATAGGGTTGCTTTGTCCAACAACTGCTACTGCTGCAACTTTGCAACAGCTAAATGCTTCTTCAGCCTCAGTGGACTGAAGGAATACAAACGGTAAAAAGCCTACAATTAGCACAAACTGATAATGTATATTCTATTTTAAACAAACATCCCGTCTCATATCATATTTAATGTAACGGTTTTAGATGTATTTTTTTATCTTATCCTATAAGTGTTGATTTGCTATGTATTGCTTTTATCAATGCTTCTTTCAATCTTCCCTTAGCACATTTTTTCATTAGACTTTTTACATTTAAAGTGCTATATAAATTCAAATAAAAAATCCTCTATTTGTTACAACAGCAAAAGGACAGTACAGATGAAAGACATACACAACATGAAGAGTAACACATTTCATAAAAGATGCAAACACACAAATCAAATAAGTAAACAACCATGGTAAATAATAAGAAGCCAGTATATTACAAAAGTAATTAAACTAGCATTTTAATAATATTTACTTTAGACCAACCCAACAGGGGAGTTATTCCAATATGAGAAACAGTATTTCATCTCTTATTCAAGAGAGACCTTGTCAACTACAAATAACCCCCTGAAGTGTATTTGCAAAGGAGCGTCACAGATTAACTGTGTGTGTGTGTGTGATGAGCTGTGTTGTGATGTAATCCACATGAAACACAGGCACACCATGCAGATGCTGCGAGCTATAGGAGGAAAAAAGAAAGGCGGAGAGGGTGGGTGAGCCACAGAGGCGGGGGCTGGCACAGAAGTCAAGGGCGGAGGGTATCCTCTTCAGAGCACACCTGAGTTGGCAAGCAGCCCCCACGGTGTCTATTATTTGATATCAGATTGGTATTAGTGAGATTAGTGGATGTCACAGGGCACAGTAAAATGTGAACACTGAGCCAGAAATCAATGCCTGGCTGGGTCTGTTTGCCTTGCATGCTGGAGCTTTCTGGGAGAGACCCAAAGAAGAGAGGGGGAGACGGTGAGAGATGGCACGGAGCGTGGATGGACATGCAGATTAATAACGGCACGTGTGGACAGACAGTGAGCCTCTCCATGGGACGCCATCTTTTAAGCCCCGGCCCCCTGTCGAGCAGCGCTCACAGCACACTTGCACACACACTTTTCACGTGCAAGAGGTCTTTGAAGGATAGCTGTTGGTTATCTCAGACACATTTTTCTCCTTTACACATGTCTCATGAATCTTTCAAGGCCCCCTTTTTTTCTTCTTTTTTGTCCTTTGCTCCAGTTCACATTTCTCAATATGAGATGCTTTCATCAGAACATATCTTCTGTAGTCGATGTTTACTCTACGGTCATGCAAGTAGGACACACTGGGAAGGTTGCACATCAGCATCTGAATAGTTTATGTACTTGTGATACTTCACTCCTGAATGTGATGTTGACATGAATAAATCATTTAAGTGTGTGTGAGACTAACATTGTATTCAAGAAAACACTACAGCGCTGTTGACTCAAGACTCCCGCTCAACACGAGTGCAAGCGACTGCCTTTTATTTACTATATTTCTCAAAGTTGAATTCAGGGGAGCATTGAGGTGTGGACTTGAACTGGAGCCTTTCTACTTGGAGTATGTTAGACCCTCACAGTGAAGATCCTTATACAGTGAGGATGGGGAAGGAAAGCTGGGACAATGCTGCCACCTGCTGTTTGGAGAACATGAGTGAGCCGCCTGCTGGAGCTGCTGCTTTGGATTTTACTCTGAGAGGAACCGTTCTAATTGAATCTTAACTTGAAGATATTATAAATCACTTTTGCCCTAGACAGAATCCATTGTTGTCTTGTTTGTGTGTGTACCCACAATCTGTCCCTTAGCATCCTTTGTCACAAATTGAATGCTGTTGCATTCAATAAGTCAAATACGAATGATCAAATAACAGGGAGGAAATTACATTCAGCCTTTTGTCATTTCTGATATATAGTTGTTTGGGATCACTTTGGACAGACACAACAGCCATGCATAATTTAAAAATACGCAGAAGTAAGGGTGACCTCTTGGCCAGCGAGGCATTCATCTTAACCTGCTTTTCCCAACGGAGTATTCTTCCCAGCCCTCTGTCTGTGGCTCCATCTCAAAATGCCAGTCATGATTAATAGAAAGGATTGCCATCTACTGTGTGTCACCGGCTTCTGTGTGATGGACAGAGGCACTTGAATAAAACATGCAGCACTGGTAGAACTGGCCTTTTCCCCGTTTAATAGAAGCTGGCATTTTTATTGTTCTGAGTGTACGGCAAAATTGCATAATGTGAAAAAATGGTTTCTCTCTACAGCTTGTTAAAAAAGCAATTATAGAAGCTGCACAATAGCCATTGTAGAGCATGTTCCCTTATTGGTGTCATGGCTTTCATTTACTCAATTTGTCCCAAATGTCATTGGTGTGTGTGTGTGTGTGTGTGTGTGTGTGTGTGTGTGTGTGTGTGTGTGTGTGTGTGTGTGTGTGTGTGTGTGTGTGTGTGTGTGTGTGTGTGTTAGAAAAGGGGGTTATGGGGAAACAGATATGATGCAGGAATTAAAGTTGTTTTATGTCACTATTATAATCTTTCTTTTGTGCCACATTGAACGTATTTTGTAAATGTGTGTTACTGTAGGAAGGTAGCAGTTGGGCAGATGCTCTTGTGACAATAAGAGATGGATTAGCAGCAAGTATAATGTATAATGAGCACAACCATGTTTCTTCATAGACTCTTGTGGGAGGTTTTTGCATGCATGCAAGCCAATCAGATGATTCTTTGAGTGCCACATTTAAGTTAATGTTACTGCAGTTTCATGCGTTACTGCTATAACAGTCACCTAAGATTCTATCTAATATCTGAAGTGAAACATTATTTAAAGAACAATTGGTACCAAAAGTAAGATGCAAGCCTGTGGAATAGTTGGCTTGAATTAGTACCAACTGAACCCATCTGATCATTCCACAATTGATGTTAAAAGCTGGTTATAACAATGTCTAGATCAGCTAACAAAAAGTGTCAGGAGTTGTTATTCGCAAGTGCAGTTTCCTTCCAGATAACCTAGACCATGCACAGAAAATCCATTCCTAACCCAGTATGTAAAAAACACATTGTGAAAGTGAAGCTGGTGAACAAGGACGTTTTAAATGTCTTACAAGATGAATACTCTGTCTGGAGACGAACAGTTTGTGATCATTAGTGTGTCTGGTAGCTTTGTTTTTCAAACTTGGACGACCGGCATCATTCCTGTTCAGGCTGATTATTCCTTTCCCTCCCTTTTCAGGTAAAGAAGAAATAGATGATGAAGAAGAGGGTGACAATGGTATGTAGCTCCACAGACCATTAACACATGTTCGCAGCCCCTTCGGCTCTTCCATTGCTTCTTGATGTCATTTGTCATCAAAAAATGAATGTTATATTTGCTCCAATTCAGCCTTTCCATTCTCTGTGCCTCCACTCTAACAAAAAAAAAGTTCTCTTATCATTGAAGCTTGGAACAAAGAAATCCCTCAATTATGTATGGTTTTAGAAGTGACATTTTTCTCACTTAATTTATGCATGTCTTTGTGGTTCCATTGCTCTCATACTGCAGTACAAAGACAAAGCTACACAAAGGCAGGGAATGAAACGGCTGTTTTGAGGTGATATTAAGAGCTGAGTCAATTCGACTCCAGGCACAAGCACTGAACTCAAATGTTTCCCACCTTTTCTAGATGCTGCGGGAAATGAAGACGTGGAAATGGAGAGTCAAAACCCAGGTATGGTACAGTGACAAGCTGCAGCACGGGCGGGGGGGTGATTACCAGTTATTGTATTACCCTACACATCCCTCACTGAGAGGGAAGGCGCACACATTGATCTGACTAGACTCTAGAGGAGATGGGAATTGTACGAGCTGACCGATGGTTTTCACTTCAGCTCCGAGTTTGATTAAATATCCAACCTGATCAGTCTTGTTAGCAGCAGAGGATTAACTACTATACAAAAGTCTAAAATGCATCTGTGCAACCTGGACAACCAGACCTTGAGACCCTGATTTTTTTTGTTTAGCTGACAGCGAAAAGCCTTAAGTGAATTGAGTGTGTGTGTGTGTGTGTGTGTGTGTGTGTGTGTGTGTGTGTGTGTGTGTGTGTGTGTGTGTGTGTGTGTGTGTGTGTGTGTGTGTGTGTGTGTGGCAAGCATTAACTTTGAGCCAGAACCATTCCTCTTTCTCCGAATATCCTCTGCTCTGCTGGTATATAATTAAAATTCTGCATTTGCATACTGGCAGTGAGCAGTGCCTCGCCTCTCTCTCCTGTTTTTGTTTTATTCAAATCCCATTCCATTGACGAAGATTTGACAGATAGAGCCTCTCTGAACATGAATTTTGTAGATATTCTATGAGAGAGCTATGGCAAATGCAGCAACGGGATGCTATTGAAAACCTGAGCTATGTAATTACTTTCTCATGAGACACAAACAGAGAGGGAGGAGGAGCAGAGATATAGAGCTTTGGGCAACACCTGCAGTCTAATTTAGCCAAACATACAGCAGAGGTATCCTTCACGCCTATGTGTGTGTTTATTGCAGGTGGAAACCAGAAACCACAGATCAATAATGTGGTCTTGGTTACTTTGTAAAATATAACCTTTGCTCACAGACCTTTATTAGCACATTTATATACCGCAAGTACACTGTTCCTTCACATTTAGTTCTGTATTATTCCCTTTTAACGCAGATGATGTTCTTTATTTACTAGCACAGAGATGTTAGAAACCGCACCCTGGCAAACACCAGTGATGCAATTATAACACAAACCGTTACATGCTTTATATCCAGCAGTATTGTAAATCAGCTATTTTAGCTTTTACAGCATACATCAAGCACTTTCTCTTCAGAAAATGTTTTCACTTCTTTCGTTGCCTTTCAAACTGAAAAAGAGCAATCTGTTGGTGTGAAAATGTTTTTTTTAGTGATCAGCAATCATGTTTTATGGTCTTATTTTCTGCTGTTGCAGGATTTAATGTGAACACTTTGATTCCCTATGCCTGAATTCATCTTTGCAAAATGTACTTATTTATATATTAAACGTCTGTGTGCCTCCAGATGAAAATTCAGGAAACCAGGAGCCAAATCAAGAAAAGGATAAGGATGAAAATGAAACCCAGGAGAAAGATGAAGACGTAGGAATAGATAACGACGAAGAGAAAGATGAAGACAAAGGCATTGAAAACAATAAAGAGGAAGATAAAGGCAAAGGTATGTACCTAAGGGAGCAATTGTTTGTTTTTTATCATTTTAAATGTAAAAATGGTCAGTCACAAATATTTACTCCAAATTGAAACAGTTTCTGGTGATGATGTGATTTCCTAAATGTGCTTTATCACTGCACTGTATCCAGCAACATATCCACAGGGCAGTGAGGCAGACAGATATGAATCAGTCAGTTCAATGCATGAAACCCTGATGGCTGACATAATGACAGCATGGAAACATAGATGTTTACATTTGTTGGTTTACCAGCAGTCTGAAATTACGGGGCTGGGAGATGGAACACTACAGATAAACAATACGTGTTTACGTAGCTGTCAGTGTTTGAATCAATGCAGATTGAGCTCTCAGCACAGAATGAGGAGGATTTGACTGCAGCATTAGCGATTGGACATACAATATTCTATTACTGAAATGGAACATCATAATACATACACACATAACCAAAGCTGATAACTTTGAAGACATTGCATCATGTTTGCAGACACTTGTGTGTAATCACCTGTCTGCAACAACTGACGTTGTGTGAAAGCGTAACAAACATCAGAGTTGTGCCTCCTTTTTCCAGCAGAGGAAGGGCAGCCTGCTGCAAAGGCAGAAGATGACGACACAGCAAAGCCCACTGTGGAGATGGAAGGTAAGGGATTTGCTATGATTTGATCTGATTGACAGTCCGACATTCTACCAATGTCAATATCTCGTCCACTCTGGCATATTTGTATTCTTATGTATTGAATTATTAGGGCCAGTGTTGTTTTTGCTGTCTGCTGTTTGTCAGAAAAAGTTTTCCATAAGAATCAATCTCAGCCTGTCTAAGATCTACTCCACCCGTGTAAAATCACTTTGTATGGAAAGTACTGGGCATTGCAGGGGGCCTCAGGTGGTGTAACACATCTCTGGAAGCCATGATGGAGCTGCTGGGAACAATCAATCACAGCAGATGAAAAAATAGAATAATCGCTAGACGGAAAAGACAAGAGCTCTTATTATGGATATGTATATGCTCTAGCAAAATCCTCAAGTGTGGTGCCTTCAGGAAACCTTTACCTGCTACAAGTAGCGTGCGGCTCAGAAAATGTGCTGAGGATAGCAACTAACTTTAGATGCAACAAAACAATTGGAGAAGTCATAGACACATCATACATTGGCAAATAACTGAGGTGCAACTCATTGAAACCAACTTTAAAGCTTATTGTGGCTTGTTGCCTTTTGGGAAGTGTTCGGTGTTCGTAGAGTGAAATATTTTTGAACTGCTTTTTATTTCTGTAATGTAAATAGTTCAAGTAAGTTGCAAAATGTTATTCAGGCTCCAGCCGGAGGATTGTCAAGGGCCCCAATTTGCCCAGGGGCAGCACCGCTTCTCATGGATACATTTGGGCCTTTGAGAGGGATAAAATGCGTGGAATACCCTTTACCTTTTTCACCCCTGATGAGTTTTTATGTCTGATTGACGACCCGGGTGACCTGTTCCTTCATGAATATGAGCACTGCCATTCATGGCCAATTCCACATTCACCAACCTGCTGTTGTTATACTCATTGCATCTGTGCTAATCCTTGTTTGTTTGTGTAAGACTAAGTGGCCCAGCTGTTCAATATATTAAGTTGCCTTTTATTATAAAAAATACCTTATATATGTATCACCTGTTTTTAAATATTTCCATTTTCAGTAAGAACATGGTTCTAGGCTTAGTGGCACAGACAAGTAGTCAGAACGTTTTGAGAGACTTACTTACACATTGTTGGTTTTGGTTTTTGTTGACAATGAGTAATATATCAGATGGTATGATTAGAGATATATATAGCTTTTATTTTCATTCAGAAACTCCAATTGAGTCCCATGATAGGGAGGCCATTTTGTTTGGATCAAACTTCTCTATGTGTGTAGCCCGCCCTTTTTGGTCTCTTGCCAAAGGGGATAATCTGTCTTTATTTATCCACATCTTTTCTCCAGCCCACATTGTCACTGATTAAGGCTATTCTCTGGAGAGTTTAAGGGGTTAGATTTGGGAGAACTACCCGCCCCTCTCCCACCACTTCACTCACACAAAGGGGTTGAGTCGCTCCCCCTTCATTTCACTTTCTCTTTGACTGACATCCAATTAATTTTGGTGAGAGCGAACATCACGGATAGATCTATCTGAGATGGCCTTCTCCATGCTCTCTGAAAAGCCATCGTAGTTTGTCCCACAAACACTGCAGGCTCTCCATCACTGGAAGACTTCACCCCGCCTGTTGATTGTGTCTGCCCGGCCCACTAGTGCCTGTCACTGTCCGAGGTTACCTGGGGTTGGGTACTGTGTGGTGGCACTGTCGAGCAGTAAACAGTGGTGTCATTCATGATTGCAGGCAGATTGCATTTTGTATAGAGGGCCTTGGACACTGTGCAGACTCAAACTGTCTCGGATATTGAATCTAATGCGGGCCAGCCCAGCCCAGCTTAGCCACACGTAACCTGCTATTCACAGGCCAGGACCAACGATTCCCAGGCCAATACCCTTTATTAAAATGAATAACTGTAATCAGGCTGCCTGCTCATGGCCATGGAGTTTAAATCTGCTTCATTGAAAGGAATAATACATGATACAAGGAGGAGTATTGAATTGAAAAATGTTAAGGAAGATTACCCCACACACACACACAGGCCTGTAATTATGTCGTGTGCGCGCGTGCGTGTGGTCTTTTTCACCAAGTCTCAACCTTTTATCTTATTTTTTGTGTTTTTGACATTGTCTTAAAATGACAATCAATTAGTTATTTGCAAGCACAAATAATATATATGCATATTTTCTGTTAGCTGTTATGTTTCTCGTGTCCAAATCAGTGGCTCAAAGAAAAATAAATCTAATGCTCTTAAAGGACAAGCAATTATCTGCCTGTAAAGAGATGCTTTCTCATTTGTTTTTAGGTTATTTGAAAATTGATTCATCACAACAATAATGTATCTAAATGAAATCAGCTTTACTAAACATTTGGCTTTGTATGCATTTGATCTCACATTTACCAGCTAGTCCTTTGTTGGGCTCATTCTAGCGTTCGTCATTCAGCCTCTAAAGCAAATGTTCACATATATAACTGATTTGAGAACATGTACAAGGCAGACATATGTATACAGCATTCTCAAATCCCTTTCTTTGCCTCTGTTCATTTATTTCCAGGTGCTCACAGTTATCGGAAATGTCTGCTGACAGCCTGCTGTTGGCACAAAGCTCTATATTGCACATAGGGAAGTGTTTATCACAGCTCTGTGTCTCAGTCCCAGCTCAGTCGCACTAAATAATACAAAGCTTTGTGTTTTATCCATTCTCACTCTCGTCCTCATTATGACTCGGTAAAAACTAGTCAGTCTACCCCATGTTTCTTTCACTGGGTAAAGATGTAGGATATGGCACAGGTTATTTGCTGATGTCTTAACAGTTCATATTACCAAACTGTAGCATCTGTTGTTTACGTTGCAGGTCTATTCGTGAAGTTGTGTTTGAGCACTTAGTCTTGTTTTTCTAAGCTCTAACAATGACTTTAATGTAATGGAATTTTCTAAGCAACCAAGAGCCACACAGTATAACAAATATTATATTGTGAGGATTTCAGCTCCCTGTGTGTGCAGTAGAGATACAGTATGTAAGGGGGTAGGCTGAGGAGAGATTCTTTATCTCCACAATATGGCTTGTATGTATTAGATTTCTCCCTGCACAGGCAATACGATTCTCAGTCTGATATCTGGGATTTTATAAAGGCTCCCCAAATTGAATCAGAAGCCAAGCAGCCTTTATTTATGAATATTCATAACACGCTTTTAAATGGAAACTGAGGTTATATTGTTATTGTGTTTGAAATATCTATCCAGCGAGCCTTAGTGACTTGTGAGAGTGGGCACCCGCTTCAGTAAGCCCATGGAACATACATCAATTAAAATGAGACTTTGCCTAAAGCTAGGTAATAATAAATCTGAGAGGTCTGTGAACAGAAATGTTTTTTCTTTCATGCATGTGTGATTATCCTACTGGAGTCGATAGCTATCGTCTTAGCTTCCAAAGGTAAGATGTAATGGCTGCGCAGATTCAAAGACACCGAGCGAACAGAAGCTCATCCTATTTTTACAATCAAACTTTGAGCAAGTTCCCCCTGTAAAGCATTTGCATGCAATGCGCCAACACAAAGCTGAATAAGGTGTGCAGCGCTGTTCTGTGATAGTATCTCCTACTACACTGCCAGTCGCGTTAGTATGTGCCTATTATCGGCACAGCCTGAATATAAGGCACAGACAGCCTTGCAATCGTGGGAGCTTGAATGTATTTTTCAGTCTTTGATAAAGGTGGCTTCTGCTAGAGGCTTGACTTTGGGAGGACACTACAGAGAATACTTTAAGCATGAGGTCTCTTCCAAAGAAAGGCTGGGTTCAGACTAGTGGTAGAGTAGGACACAGACTCTAATGGCACACTAAGGCCAGCTGGCAGGGGGGATCCTGCAGGGGAGACGGAGACAGACAGACCCAGCAGGCCATCACAACAATCTAAGTCTGAACACAGCAGAGACAAGGCACCATTACACGAGCCCAGAGGCACCGGAGCTCACATTCCCTCCGCTCATCCCTCCCTCGATATTTCTTTTTCTCTCTTTAGACCTGTTGTGTTGTTAAAAAAACATCACAGCAATTCCAGTTCACACTCATTATCAAACTTTGCACTTGTTGTTTGTTACTTTAGTGTCATGACTTTCTTTCTCCTAACGCTTGCCAGGAGGTTTTAAGTATAGATGGATGAGTTTTGTTTTTTTTAACGCTGGGACTCTGCCACAACCGCTCGCAGCTCACTATATGCGTGGCTCTGTGCAGAAAGCCCAGCTGTATCCACAAGTGCCATATGGTGCCCAAAAAACCCTGCTGCACATCATGTACCCTCGACAGATCCCCATGAAAAATGAGACTACAACAAATCCCCTTCTAATAACTGTTATGAGAATCGGTTTTATTCTCTTTTTTGAGGATGTTATTGATTTCTTTGTATTTTACTCCCTCAGTGGTAGGGCTTGTGTAACAGAACAACAAGCCGACACAAATGTCTCTCCTGTAATCCAGCAGACTTGCCACTGGCAATATCAAGGTGCAACACAATCATCGCACCACGGCGACCCTTTGTGCTCTCTTTTATGTTAGAGCATACAAACATACAAAAGCTTACAAAAAGAGGATTTTCTTAATAATCCTCTGCAAGTAAAAATATATTTTCCTGCTTTTTAGCAGCGTGAATAATTTATCCCAGGACTCATTGGTTTATTCCTCTCTGTGTTGCTGAAATGCACTTTGCATTTACGTCCCTTCGTCTCAGCAAAAAGGATTTCAAGCTTTGCCTAATTGGTTGTTTTGTGCCCTTTTGTCATTGCCTTTTGTGAACAATGGGATACTGGTGATGTAAATCTAATTCTGAAGAGCAATGCAGCCTTTCCTGTGGCAAAGACTTGTCGGAACACAATTAACTTTTGGCATTACACTGTATACAGTAAAAGTGAGTGGCTCCTCGGGGAGCAAGCTGCCACTGGCTGAAGACTTAGTGTTTTAAAAGCATGTTGCACCGACTGTGAAGGGACACAGCTACACCAATGGAAGCCCTGCAGAGGCAATGTGTGTGATGAAATTATG